ATTCCATCATCCTCCTCTAAACTGGGCTTTTCCTACAGGCAATTTGTCCTCTTCACTGTGCGCCTTCCCTCTCTTCCCCGCATTACTGCATGCAGTGCTTGTTGTTGGCTCTCTTTAAAACACATGCATGTTTGTTTTCCTGGCTCGTGACCTGCGGATGTGGTATGTTATGCATTTAAGCTTATATACATAAGGACAGTAACCTTAAACCCACAGCAGGAGGCTGCTGGCTTGGAGGGGTTTTATTTCATTTTATTTTTTTCCTTACACTTGACTCTCTTGGGCAGTAAACCTAGATGTAGGTGCTCTCTTGCTTGGTGCCCTTTAGGAAACTCCAGAGATGTGGGCCTCGTGGAGCATCCCGGCTTCAGTTGACTGACCATCCTGAGGCCATTCTGTTAAAGCTTTTGGTGTGCTCCTCAGCCGCTTTGGGTCTAAACCGGCCCACCTCAAACATGGTGGTGATCTTTGTCATGGGTTTGGCAGCCAGCTCCTTCAGTTTCCGGGCGTCAAAGCGTGGCTTATGTAGAAGGATGGGTAAGCGGCGGGGAAGAAAGAAGCTTTCTTCCTTCCGCAGCTGCTTCTCTTCTGCTTGCTGCTTCCTCTCTTTGTTGACTGTCATCTGGTACAAAATAGCATCCCACATTCTTGTGGCCCTTGATTTAAACAGCCTGCTGTCTTGACTGATGATTGCTTGAGAGCTGTCCTTCTCCTTACTCCCCTCCTCCTGTCCAGGCTTTTCTGGCTCGGGCTCTGGGAAGGTGGGTGCTTCTGGCTGCACCATCAAGTGCTTCCTGAGGCGATGCCAGCCACTAGCATTGGCTCCAGGAGGTCTTGCTGCTTCTACTGATGGTAGCGTTGGCTCAGCTTTGAGGGGAGACCTGGTGTTTGGTAAGCTGGGGGTCAAATGAGGCTGAATGACATGTTCTTCCTTGGTGTCTGTAGAGGTGGCCCCTGTACTGTCAGGTTGTGCTGGGGTTTCTGTCTCCGCGTGTGCTTGCTTCCAAGGAGTACTGGGTGTTGATGGCTTTGGGGTGTCAATGTCTTGCTTGGGTAATTCAAGAGCTCTCTCTGATTCAGGTATTTCTGTGTCACTTCCATGGATCATAGCCTTATTGGCATGGGCATCAGAGGTGCTGGGCTTGGGTGAAGGGGCCTTGATGGAGTCCTCAGTAGGAGCAGGCTTCAGTTCTTTAGGAGGCTCTGCCTCTGCAGCAGAAAGGAGAGGAGGCTCCAGTGTGGGAGCTGTGGCCTTGCTGTCATCGAGCTGGGTGGGTATCTGCTCTGGAGATACTTCAGAACAGCTTGTTTCAGCAGCTGGAGGAGAAAGACTTTTGTCTTCATTGTTGATGGTGGTTTGGGTGTGATTTGACATGGGCGTCTTAGCCCTGGGTGGCTTGACACTGTGGAAATAAGTGTGCACCTTGGTGACATAGGTACGCTCTGGTGCCCTTTCTTTATTGGGCATACCAGAAGGAGGAGGCTGGGGGGAAACAAACACGGAAGGGTCGCCTGGAGAGGGGAGGTGGGTGTCCGTGCCTTCAGGCTGCTGTGGAGTCTCAGGAGCAGCTGGTTTGTGTAGCATGGGCATGGCCGGGGCGGTGGTGAGCCTGAGGTGTTCAGCAATACGCCTCTGCTCGGTGACCTTCAGTGTGAAAGGCTTGCCCTTTCGGAAAGGGGAGGGGACACGGTGGATGATGGGCTTGATGGAGAGGCTGGTGGAGGGGGTTGCTGTGGTTTTGGGGGTCTCTGCTGGGGAAATGCTTTCATTGTGCTCAAGATCAGAGCTGGCCTCGTTCACAGGTGAGAGGCTGGACCGAAAGGATTTTGCTTGCTCTGAAGCTAGGATGGCATTTTTCTTGGCTGCCTTCTTCAGCAGCCGCTGGAGTCGCAGGTTGTCCTTCCCGGGCTTTGGTAGGGTGGGAGGGGGAGAAAGGTGGTGGCGGATGGGAGCAGGCTGGATGGAGGATGATACTGTTATCAGCATTGTCATCTCCTGGAAGAAAACACAAAGCTTAGAGTTGGCATGAGCTTAGCCCTGGGCTAGACTCTGAAGTATTTCTACATAAGGCCTCCTCTTCCTCTATCCAAAAGCTGAGTGTGGAGTCAGTATTCTGGGAGAAGAGCATCAGTCCGGGTTTCCGTAGTCTCCCAAGGTAGCCTCAGCCAGTCTTGAGGGTGGTGTGGCAGGACAAGAGATATACTGGGGGAAGCTGTATTGCCAAACCTGGAGCCCTCCTGCTCCTGGTGTTAGCACAAAATCCAGTGAGAGCTCCTTGCGACCCCAGATGTTTGTGTCTTGGCAAGTCCTAACAGGATTTGGAAGGAAATGTCAAGAGAAACAGAGCAGGTCTGAAATTTTGAAGCTTTGAAACATTCTCCAGAGGCACAAATCAGGAATGTTTTATGGATTTCCAAATGCCCGTTATTAATACTCTGATACACTGTTATGTACAACAGAACAGCCATAAACTACCTGTGTCATTTGAGTCAAAGTTAGCTCTGGCCTCAGTTGATTTCAGCCTCCAGAAAGACATCCCTATGGAACGCAGGACTTAAAAGCTGCGTTTCTCTGATGAGAAAGTGCTTTGGCACAACACTGACTGGTGTTTCTTCATGGTGTCAAGCACAGCAGCAACTTCTTTCTAAGATACTCTAAGATAAAACCTAGTTTTCTCTTTCC